GCATTAGGCTTTTCTCTCTGTTCCCTTCTTTTTACCACACTCCGATCCGAATCCATCAATCTCAGCTCGGCGGCAGCAGTGGTCACTAGCTGGTCAGTTCGAACGTCGTCGGTACATGCCCGCGGCTCACGGGCACGCACCAAACTCTCACGTCTCACGTCTCACGTCTCACGTCTCACCAAAGGGCTTGCCCTTCACATGGGAAACAGGACGTCCCTGCCTCCTTTTGGTTGGATTCGACGTGGAAATAATTACACCAGCAAAATCCAGGACGTGCATCAGTGCGTGACTGCATGGCATGCATGGAATCATGGATGCTGCCGTAGCTCCCACTGCAGCGCAGGCCTCTGCTCTGTGCCTCTGCCTCCTCAGATCACTGAGTCGCTGCAGGCCTGCCTCTCTCGCTTGTTGCGAGTCTGACCTGACCGCTAGCTCGGCGGCAAGGGCGTGTAAGGATCAGGAATTCAGGATGCATGGCCGCATGCGGAGATGATGGATGGGGAGGCCATGACAGTTGACAGCTTTCACGGTCCATGTTCTTGCCCGGCGGACAGACGCCCCGGCGGTTTGCTTCACTGCCGGCCTTGTTTGCGAGCCCCTATTTCTACATCCAGATCACCACATGCATGCGTGTGATGGTTGTGCCTTTTCCTCGCAGTATCCCCACCTACCTACCTGTTCTTACCAAGAATTTTACGCACGCTCTTTGTTTCGTTGTGCCCTTTGAAGGTAACTGTACTGTACTTTGCTGAATTTTGTTGGACTGGGAAGAGACCTGAACCTAGAGATCACGAGTCCCACGTTTATTACGTAGGGTTTTTTAACTACGAAATGGAAGTTTGAATAGCTTATGGAACAGCAAAGACATCGCGCATTCTGATGATCTGATCTCTGAACTCCGTAGGGTGGTCATCATCATTCCTTGCTCGGGCTAATTGGCCAATGGCCATGCATGAAACAGGACACAGAGCAGCAGCACGTCGCAGAATCGGATGGTATAGCTAGTAGACGTAGACGTACACAATCCTCCATTATCACCAGACACCAGCATGGCGTACTGTCTGCAGATGTAGCAGATAGGCAGAGGTAAAAAGCTCGCCGGCGTCTTCCGGCTTGGAACGGTGTTACTGAATGTTACCCTGCTCCCCTTTCCCCAGCCCAGCCTCCAACCTCCCCGGTCGGGCAACCTGACTTAAAACTTGTCCTTGGGCCTACGGCCCACGAAACGCCCCAAGCCACAAATCCAGACAGCCCAAGCTGGAAAAGGCAGGCCTTTGCAACGGAATACTCCTACACATGAGAATATCGGTAAGGGCCTGTTTGCATCCGAACCGATCCGATGGCAATACTCCACCAGCGCTTAGGTGGCGTTTGGGAAGTGGGAAATGAGGGGTAGGTATGGGATACGAGGAGTCAGTTAAACCCTAACCTTTGTTTGACAGTGGGAAAGGGATATACTGTAGCCGTGGCCAGTGGGAATGGGAAATTGGAAGGTTATCTCATCCCGACGAGGAGGGTGGGTTACGCTGGGAAACGACGCGGCGAAGCGGTGGTGCTGATGGCTGAGAAGAGCGACGACGTGAAGGAAGAGGGAGAGAAATGTGGGTGGAGGGGACAAGCGTGGAGACGGAGCTGACTTCCCGTGCGTGGTGCGGCGCCGCTGGAGCACCCGCTAGGCCTAGATGCACCCGGCCGCCGGAGCAGCAGCTCGCCTCGTAGTCGCAGCTCGCGCCGCCGGAGCAGCAACTCGCCTCGGAGACGCCGCGCTGTCGGAGCCGCAAGCTCACCTCGCATGGGCCTAGCTCGAAGCCGCTCGCCTCGGATGCGCCTTGCCGCCGGAGCTGCAACGCTCGCCTCGCATGCGCCGCCCCACTCAGTTGCAGCCGCTCCACTCAGCAGGCGAGCGGCGCAGGGATGGCAACGCAGGGGCGGCAGGAGCAAGCCAGGCCACGGATGCGTGTCTTCGGTGTTCCGTCGGACTAGCACATGCGAGACCGAGAACCATCGAGTCCAGAACATAGTAGGAGGGACCATTTTTTATTAGCAAAGTAGCGAGTGGGTCCCACTTTGTGCTGTTATCCCAAACCAATTTGTGCTGTTATCCCAAACCAAGTTGCCAAACAACCCATAAGAGATAGGGATCTTGTAACCAGACCATAACCCAGTCCACCATAACTCACCTATTTCCCTATCCCTTTCCTAAATTATATCCAAACGCCACCTTAAGGCAGAGGCAGGAGCGACGTCGTGATTTCCTAAAAAAAAAAAGGAGCGACGTCGTGTGAATCGCGGATTCTCCCCAGCGTTCACCTATACGTGTCTCGCGAACCGCCATTGAAAAAACTGTGTGGGTACCGAAGGCGTTTCCCTGACCCGTGTTCTACTTGCGGCCTTTGGCGGGATTCTTGCCACGTTTTCGTGTGTGTGTATATACATAGGGATGTAAGACAGATTATTCACCCACTCCGAGATCCGAAACGACGAGACCCGGAGTGGCGAGATCCGAGCGCCTCCATCCTTCTCCGGTGCCAGCCCGTGCAAGACTGGCGGCCTTCCCCCCTCTCTCTCCACGCCAACGAGCCTCTATTCGCCCAACTAGGAAGAAGATGTTGCGCTGATTCAGCATGTTGTAAGGGTATGTCTCACGTGTTTCATACGCATGTTGAGTGTTTCATCTGGATGTTGCAAAGTGTTTCATACACATGTTGTAAGTGTTTCAGGTGTTTCATATGCATGTTGCAGGTGTTTCATATGGATGTTGAAAGTGTTTTATTTGAATGTTGCAAAGGTATATATTGGGGAATGTTGCATGTGTTGCAATGGATACACATGTATGTTTCAAGTGTTTTAGCTATTCCAGACGGATGTTGCAACTATTTTATTTGGATGTTGCAAAATAGATTTGGATGTTCCATGCGTTACAGTGGCTTCACATGTATGTTGCAAATTTATGTTCCAAATATTTCATTTGTTTTCAAACGCATGTTGCAATTGGTTTCCCCTGGATGTTGCAAAACTAGTTCTGGAGGTTGCAAAAGTGCATCTGCTTTTTAAATTCCCGCATGCGCAGGCAAAATAGAGCGAGTGGAACCGCATGCGCGCGTGGAAAGGAGTGGCGAGACGGTTCCACAGGGCCTGCACGCTCGTGCAATGGAGCGGACGGGGCGCCACGTGAAACGGAGTGGGGCGGGGTAGATCTGCCACGAGTTTGAGCAAACGGGGCAGAGCACATTCCATATATTTAATAGTATAAGTAAAGGACCGTCGTAGAAATGGACCGAATATAGTCGGATATAGATTTGGATAGCGACATTTACCATATTCGAATATGAACATGGCTTAAGACGTTATCAAATGCAGATGCAAAATAGATAGTTTTTTTAGATAGTTTGAATTTAGATTCAAATTCGGATATCTATTTGATTTGGGAGATAGCAAATAATATCCATTTGGACGTGCACGTGTTCATCGCTAAATGGATAGCCACATCTATATATAACTAAAAAGATTCTAAAGTGATCATCTACAAGATGATACCAAAAAAAAACATATACTATTCGGTCACATAAACTATCAAACGTGTATACTATCCGGACACGGTTCATCCGTACAAGAAATCCAAAGTCCGCACGCCTTTCTCCTGTCTCGGCTCCCGTCGCGGCGGCGCACCTGTTCAGCAAACCAGCCCGCACCCAGCCCGTAGAAACCCGACACGAACTCGTGCAGTCACGGAATTGTGTACCATGGCGTATGCTACTTTGCATGTCTGCATGCAAAGCAACCTAGACCACTCAAGGCATCAACGCTCGTTGTTCCACGGACTGCTTGACCAATCACAAGACCCGACTAAAATAAGAAAATGAGTCACGGAAACAGAATCGGATCCCAGCCGAAAATAATCAAAAACAGAAAAAAAAGAGATACGGCATAAAAAATTGTTCTACTTAAATAAGGAAATCGGGCACCCTTCAACCGGCATAAAAAAATAAATAAAGAGATATAAACGCACACGTAAAATATGTTCTACAATTTAAAATAATTTATTAATAGTTCGAGCAGAAGAAGATATGTTCTACAACCGGCTTTGTATGGGCACGAAGCTGGTCACCGATCAAAGACGAGTTAGAAGATATATTTTTTCCAGTGAATCCAGCATATGCAACATATGATTTTTCATCCGACTCTACAGGTGAACCGTGACACACCAATTATGGAAAAGCGTACCGATCCGATCCTCGAGCGTGGGAGCACATCCTTTAACTTTGCCCTCGCCGAAGATCACACGTGCCATACATCTGTGCACAACCTCATGGCGAAGTCCGCCACTAGGCCGCACCCGCCAATGGCGTCAGATCTCACAACACCACTGGACGCCGTGCCATCGGTCACGTCTACCCTTGGCATTGGCCAACAACGGCGCCCTGGCCACAGCTGTGCGACCTGTCTATGGCTCTCATCCCTTGCCGAACGTTGGCAGTGCACAACGGCAAAGGACGCGAGCGAGGCAACAAAAGCCGGGGCGTAGAGCAGCAGCATCCGGAATCGGCTAAAATAGACTTTATATTTTAAATAAACTAGATCTACACGATATATGTGACAAAGATCATGACAAGTACGTGGTTACATATGTAGATAAAAATTAACTCCGTGCAGGGCATCTATCTAGTAATGAGAAATATATGTTCAAACATATGCATATGAATGTAGTAACTTATTATGGAAAAAAAATACAATTATAATGGACGCTATCGGATAATTCCTCTATTCAATCCCAACGTTTTGAATAAGGCATTGAGCATAGAACCACAAAATTCATTCTGTAGACTTGACGATGGACCTCATAGACCGCGTTCATAGACGTCCATTGCACACTCCTAATGATCGCTTGAATGACACATATATACATGCAAATTATTCAAACTACTACTACTACTTTATTATTAATCTGTCCAAAAAGTTCACTACTGAAAAAAACTCTCCAAAGCTTTGTGTCCGATAGATCAACTCCTCCTTGGCACGAGGCGCGGGCGCAGCGGCTTCTTCATGACGGTGGTGAACTCGCTCTTCTCCCCGAACTCCACCTCGTGGCCGGGAGCCTCTCTCCACTCGAACTCTCTCACCATGTTGGCCACGAAGAACTCGAGGTGCAGCATGGCGATGGACAGCCCGGCGCAGATCCTCCGCCCCACGCCGAACGGCATCATCCTGATCCCCTTGGTGCCCGTCATGTCCACGCCCACGCCGTCGCCGCCCTCCAGGAACCGCTCCGGGACGAACTCCATCGGCCTCTCCCACTCCTGCTCGTCCCGGCCCATCTCGGCCACCATGAAGTTCACCGTCGCGCCCTTGGGAATCAGGTACCCGCCGACGTCCATGTCCTCGGCGGCCTTGTGCGGAAGCACGAAGTGGCCCGGCGGGTGCTTGCGCAGGCCCTCCAGGATCACCGCCTTAAGGTACGGCATCCCGTGCACGGCCTCCTCCGAGACCGCCTCGGCGTCGTCGCCGCACGTGGCCTTGATCTCCGCGTGGAGCCGGTCTTGGACGGCCGGGTTCTTCACAAGCTCGGCCATGATCCACTGCAGGCCCGTGGAGGTGGTGTCGGTGCCGGCGGTGAGGAACTCGGAGCAGAGCGCGACGATCTCGTCGTCGGTGAGCGCGCGGTGGCCCAACTCTGCGGGGAGCGTGATGTCGAGCAGGGTGTCCACGTACGAGTGCTGGAACGTGGTCTCCCTCGCCGGCGCCTGGCCGGCCATGGCCTGCCGCTTGTACTCGCGGCGAGCGTTGATGAGCGGCACGAAGAGCTCCGCCTGGCGCCGGCGCAAGGCGCGCGCGGTCTGCAGGCGGCCGCGGAAGACGTGCCTGGTGACGGACGGGAAGAAGAAGAAGACGCTCATCTGATGGGAGATGTAGAGCAGCCACGTGCGCTCGGCGTCCTCGATGGCGCGCACCGCGGGCTCGTCCAGCCGCTCGCCGAAGCACATGAGCACGAGGAGGCAGAACATGGTGTACCGGAACGCCTCCATGACGTCGCCCGGCTCGTCGTCCCCGGCACCACTTCCCGCCCGCAGCTTGTCCATGAGGACGCCGCGCACCCAGGCGCGCGCGGGCGCGAACTGCCTGACGCGCGACGGGTGCAGCGTCTCGGCGACCAGGTTGCGGCGCAGGAGGCGCCACACGGGCCCGTAGTCGGCGCGGGTGATGATGTTGTCGCTGACGCCCAGGAGCGAGCTCGTGGCGGCCTGCGGCCGGTTCGCCATCGTGACGGCGCCGGCGCCCACGAGCGCGGCGTGCGCGAGGCGGCGGTCGGCCACGAAGATGGCGAGCCGGGTGCCCATCCGGAGCGTCACGACCGGGCCATACCGATTGAAGAGCTTCAGCAGCAGGGGCTCCACGTCGGCCGCGGAGTTCCTCAGCCACAGCAGGTTGCCGAACAGCGGCACGGCCAGGGGACCCGGCGGCAGGCGGCGGTTCTTGGCGTGGCGCCGGCGGAGGACGAGGAGCGAGAGCAGGAGGGCGCCCGCGAGGAGGATCCAGCTGGTCTCCATTGGAGGTGTAGTGTTTTTGCGACGAAACTCTGTTCGTGTTGATGTTTGTCGTATGATGAGGAGATTAGACGAACGGGATTCCAGTTTTATAGTGGGGTTTTGTACGTGGAGTCCCGAGTCCGTACAACATAGCGAGTTCGATATGGTTTCGACATGGTTTCATGTGCTGGGATAAGGTCTGAACATGGTTTTCTAGACTAGAACAACTATTGTTGTCGACTTGTTGTTGACTACAAGAATTATTGTTCCGAGACTACAAGAATTATTGTTGTTGACTTGTTGCCGTCTGCCGAGTTCGTCCGAGACACGGTTGCAGCGGCCAAGGCCATCTATGATCTGTCCGTGTTGCACACGTGCAGGCGAGTGTTCCCGTTGGCATCTCTAGGGCCAGTTTGGTTGCCGAAAAATTTGGCAAAACGATACCGTAGCGTTTTCGTTGTTATTTGGTAATTAGTGTCCAATCATAATCTAATTAGGCTTAAAAGATTCGTCTCGTGAATTTCGTCTAAACTGTGTAATTAGTTTTATTTATATTTAATGCTTCATGCATGCGTCCAAAGATTCGATGTGACGGAGAATCTTAAAAAATTTGGCATTTTGGGAGGGAACTAAACATGGCCCAGTAGCAACGGCCAAGGCCATCTATGATCTGTCCGTGTAGCGCACGTGCAGGCGCAGGTATCAGGCCTGTTCGGCTCCTCTGGACCGGCTGGCTGGGCTAGGCTGATCAGCCCAGTCGTTCGATGGCCCAGGTCCAGCCGAACGGCTGACTAAAAGCCAACGCCTGAGTCCGCGTTCTCCTCCCCTCCCTCGGTCCTTTTCCCTGCGCGTCGCACGGCTAGGGTTTGCGTTCAGTCGCCTCTTCTCCTCCTTCCTCCGAGTGGGCCACGGCGTTCGTCAGCTCCGGTTCGTCGTGCCTGCCCCCGCTGCTGTCAGCGCCTCCGTCCCCTCCTACCTCTCTCCGCCGTGAGGGGCCCCCCTCGCGGCCGACAGTCTCCGCGACGAACGTGAGCTCCGCAGCCCTCCCAGAAACCCGTCGCCGTTGACACGGTACCCCTGGATCCGACGCCGCCGCCATCGTCCCCTCCTGATCTGCCTCCTCCATCTTTCACTCGCCTCCCTTCCAGCTCTAAGGACGTCGTCTGCCCTCCCCCCTCCATATCTCTCGCCTCTGTCTTCCCCCTCAACTCCGGTTATGTCGCCTCCGTCTCCCCCCCCTCCGGCTGCGAGGCCGCCGTCGTCCACACCCTCCAGATCTGCCCCCACGTGCTCTGTTTGCAGGTCTTTCCCTAGTGCCGCCCACGGATCCGGGGACGGTTGGAACTAACCAGCTAAAACTACAGGTGATGCTATTCAGTAACCAGTGAGCACCTTCTTCATTGAACAAAAACCTTTATTTCTTTACAAGTATCTGATTTTGTATGAACATTATGGGCACATTTGGACAGCTATTTCCATTTGTATTTAATACATGTGCGCTTGTACGTTTATTTCTGTTTACATGATTTCACGTATTCATCACAGACTAGCAAATCCATTCTAACTCTTGTACTTCTTTTCCTTATTATTATTAAAAAAACTCTTATACTTCCTTTACATACTAATAATTCTTGGTCTTCCAACAAAAACCAATCTAATTGGCTATGACTTGTACACATCTAATATGGATGGGATGATGCATGCGTGATTTCCATAACGATTCTGATTTTCCTATTCTGGCTCAATGATAGATCAGGTTCTAGTATTTTTGTAGTCTTTAAAACTGGACTTGCACAGGATACATGTTGAAGTACTGTAATGAGATGAAGTATCCATCTCAGTGACATCCTGTTGGATTCTGAAAGAAAGCAGACATATGTATGAAATGTTAGGTTTCTTATTTCTTCCTTTCATTTTCATCAACCATCATTTTTGTTTTCTTTTCATTAACTTGGCAGTTGGTTAAGTGCACTTCTTTATTTTACAATTATGTCCATTATTAATCAAACACTTCTTCATAGGGATTTAGGAGCCTATAAGGTTTTCATATGAAACTAGCTACATAGGCTAGTACTTCAAAGGAAATGCTACCACTATTGAAGTCTTCACTGATACTGACATTGTTAAGGGCTTAAGGCTGACGACTGATCAGGGTACAGAGAAAAGCAACCAATGAGATGATTGTTACATGCTTAGATTACACTCCAACAATAAATCACAGCTACTGGTTACTTCAATGCCTTTTGGTTATATCAATTGAAAGGTTAACAGAGTTGTATAACAAAAGTTAAATTCTCCTCATATGTAGAACTCATGTTTTCTATTTTTCCGATCCGGCCTTGCAACCTGCTTCTAGCCATTGTTCAGTTATTTCTAGTTGAGCAGCTGTCTAATGCGAATACCATTTAACCTGCTGTCGGGGACCTAATACCGGGGTACCCAATGAGGTGAAACTAACAACCATCGAACGCTGACACTTCCGGTCAGACAAGAGCACTACTGCGCTTCTTGGCCGAATGACGGAAGATTGGTTCCTCCTCGCCCGACCCCCGAGGGCTAGGCTCCGTCTCGCCCGATGGTGAAGGGCGGGCTCTGCCTCGCCCGACGTCCGAGGGCGGGCTTCGCCTCGCTCGACCACCGAGGGCTAGGCTCCGCCTCACCCGATGGCTAAGGGCTGGCTCTGCCTCGTCCGACATCCAAGGGCGGCCTCCGCCTCGCCCGACCACCGAGGGCTAGACTCCGTCTCGCCCGATGGCTAAGGGCAGGCTTCGCCTCGCCCGACGTTTGAGGGCGGGCTCTACGTCGCCCAACGTCCGAGGGCTAGACTCCGTCTCGCCCGACCCCTGAGGGCTAGGCTCCGCCTCGCCCGATGGCTGAGGGCAGGCTCCTCCTTGCCCGACATCCAGGGGCGGGCTTTGCCCCGCCTGACGGCTAAGGGCTAGACTCCGCCTCGCCCGATGCCCGAGGGCGGGCTCGACCTCGCTCGACGACTAAGGGCTAGCTCCGCCTCGCCCGACAACCACACCCTGATCCTTCATAAAGACGAGCACAGGGTACGACAGGACATTCGAGTCAACCACGATATCGAGGTCCATGACCTGTGCGCCTGCAGGAAGGTACCGTCAGGATACGATGGGACGGGCGCTTTAAAGCCCTTTCCGACATAACAGTGCCTGAATAGTGTTGTAGGCGCCAACTTTTTGTCCCACAGTATAGTAGGCGCCGCCTTTAGCCCTCGGGCGTGGATACTAACACAGGCATACGACAACCGCTACAATCTAAGGGAAAGCTCACATCCGTATAGTCGTCTCCCGTCTGCTCCCCGTAGAGTCATAGCTCGGTGCCCTGACACCCCGCACCGTCTGTCGGGGAGGATGGGACGTAACCACTCGCTGAAGCAAGGCCAGGGCGTGGCCCTGTCAGGGTCAGCGGACATGCCATCCCTGGCATGGTCTGCCATGACAGCGGTATAGGCTCAAGGGAAGAAGAAAGCTCGGCACCCTCGAAGGGCGACCTCCACCTTAGGTTTTTTCCTCTTTCTCCCATCTATAAACCCCCTGCTCCCCCTTGATCTATAAAAGGGAGGGCAGGACTCCCCACGAGGGGGGATCAGTTCGACAGACACAACACATCACGCATACTGCCAAGCAGCGACCAAGCTCTTGGTGTCCTTTTGACCATTCCATCAGAGACTTGTGACCTTTTTCTCTCTCGACCGTTTGTACCCCCTACTATGAACCTTTTTTGGTACTGATAACATGAGCAGCAGCAGACTGGATGTAGGGATATTCAACCCGAACCAGTATAAACCTTGTGTCCTTTAGTGCACCATCTGGGCCTAATGTGTGATAATTATAAATTTACTAGCCGGTGTTTGTTTGAAACACCGACAGTTGGCGCGCCAGGTAGGGGCCTTTGCGCATTCCAAATCAGGCCTCGGATGGCTAACCACGCAATCAAGCTGGGTCCCGGGCGCACACGTGTGTTTCGGTGACCTAGACTTCATCGTCACGGTGGGAGGAGAGTTGGTGTTGGCCCATCTCGCCATCCAGTCTCTCCCCTCCATCGGCTCTGGCTACAGGAGGCTTGAGCGCCAGCCCGATGCCTCCATCGAACCCCAGCCGTCCAGGGAGGACCCGCGCTGCCTCACCCTCTCTCCGGAACACTCCGCACGGAGCGCCCCGATGGCGTTCCCGCAACGCCGTGACGATCGTCAGCCACCTCTTGGCACAACGCACGATCCCATTCCCCACGAACAACGAGTTCGTGGAGATGATCGAAAGCGTCATGGAATCCCTCCACGGCCTCCTTGCGGAAGGTTCGGGGTCGAACTCCAGCTCTGACTCCGGCAGTGGGAGCCATCATCTCTCCCGGGAATGTTTCATGGCGAAAACCTCCGAGGGACATGTCGAAAATGCCTCCGAGAAGGAGGTTACCCTGGCAGGCAACCTCGGCGATGGAACTGAAGGAAGAACGGCGGCCCCGTCCCACGTAGGGGTGGAGTAGCTAAAAGCCCAAAAGCAGGAGATCAACGAAGCTGGACAACAGCTTATTAGGGAATACGCGTTGGTCGATCAGGAGATCGAACGCCGTGGCAACGGTGGACACGCACGCGCTGTGGCCCACGACGTAAACCGAAGGATCGTCGCCGATGATGAAACCCTTCCTCACTTCGCTTGGGCGAGCCAAAACTTCACCGCCGCAACGGCCTTGCTCCATGGCCTTCTAGAGGTCGTAATGCCTGAGGATCACCGGGCCCACTGCGAAATTCACACACTGCTCAAGCGTGCGGCGGCGCAGTAGGCGGAGAGTTTGTTGTCTCGGCGACACGAGCTCGACACCATCTAGCGCACGCCCTCAGTGCGTCCCACCAGGGACGCATCAGTCCACTAGGCACTGCAAGGCAGCAGGCAGCACGTTGCGGCCCAGATACATCAGTGTCTCGGCCGTAACCGCGACGCGTGCAGCACCCTCGACGCCCGCAGACGTACCTACAACGACCCGAGGGAAGGCGCCCACCA